TCCTTACTCCAGCGCGTCCAAATGTGTTGTTTCATTTGTTGCAAATGCTGATAGATTGATAAACGATTTGAAGGTTGGCTGCTCACATCATAACCAGGAACAGGACTCAGCTGTCGGTTGATTAGGAAGTGCGAAGGCGTTAGGGGAGCAAGATCGTCAGGATCAGAGGAGAGTGGGGAAATAGGGCGAGAATTCATTATTGCTTCAACTTCAGTGAGCAGCGTATAAAAATGTTCGAATGTTAAGGCAGTTTTGCCAATTACACGCTTTAAATGATATTTCATACTTTTCACTCCGGCATCCCAGAGTCCCCCGAAGTGAGGTGATTGAGGCGGTATGAAATGCCAGTCTGTATCTTCTTTACATAATGAAGACGTTAATTCATTATTTTTTTCTCGAAAATATCGTCCAAGTTCTTTCAATTCCGAACTGGCTGCAACAAAATTAGTCCCGTTATCAGAAAAAATCTTGGATGGTTTACCCTTTCGTGATGAAAATCTACGAAATGACAATAAAAACGCCTCCTTACTGAGGTCAGTCACTAGTTCTAAGTGGACTGCTTTAGTCAAAAAACAAACATAAAGCGAAACATAGGATTTTGAGACTTTGGCACCTCTGCCACTTTTATTTTTCAGCAAGAACGGACCTGCATAATCTACTCCTACAATATCGAATGGATGATTTGGTGTGAGACGCTCTTCAGGTAAATTTCCCATAATAGGCTTTAACATTCTCGGACTATATCTAAAACATTTTAGACATTTCTGTACAATTTGTTTGGACAAAGATCGACCCGACACTGGCCAATATCTTTCCCGTACAGAAGCCAACAAATGCTGAGGTCCGCAGTGATACAATTTGACATGCTCATGTTCTAAGATTAATCGAGTGAGGTTATGTTTTGGGGCCAAAAGTAATGGATGTTTTTTCTCAAAATTGAACTTAGCATTCGACAATCGTCCCCCAACTCTTAAGAAACCGAATTCATCAAGAAACGGGTTCAACTTTAAAATTTTACTGCGAGAATTCAAACCTGTAGTTTTAAGCTGAGCAATGTCTAAAGGAAAAGATTCATATTGAACACATTTTAATAATATATTGAATGATATATCTATTTCACTCTTCATTAAAGGACCTAACTTGCGATCACTTTTGGAAACCTTACAGTTGTATACGAACCTACGCATTAGAGTGGTTATTCTTTTAAGTCGGCCGAGATCAGAAAATTTATCAAAGATAAAATTTTTATTTTCCTCCGTATCCTTCTCGGTATCAATATTAGCCACTAAATGAGAATGAGTTTGATTTTTCTTCAAATCTGGCAAATTTTCAATTTTTGAATCTTGGCCAGAATTTCGAGGCCAATGTGCTTCATCAAAATATAAAAATTGTGGTGGTGGTTTAGGACCACATATCTAAATTGAGTATCTCAGAACATTTGGCTCCACGGGACAAAATATCTGCCGGATTTTGATCACTTGGTACATGTCTCCATATACCATGACCAGTTAAAGTCTGGATTTCCGAAATCCTATTGGCAACAAAGGTTTTCAACTTATTTGGTGGTGTTCTCACCCAACCAATAACTATTGTGGAATCAGTCCAAAAGAATGTTTTATCAATGGCAAGCCTGAGGGACTTGGAAACCTTATTAGACAATCTAGCAGCTACAAGAGCACCACAAAGTTCCAATCGAGGCAAACTAATTGATTGCAAAGGTGCTACCTTAGCTTTCGATGTTAAAAGATGTATGAAAACGTCACCATTTTTATCAATAGATTTGAGATAGATACATGAGCCATAAGCCTTTTCTGAACTGTCTGAAAAACAATGCATTTCTACTTCCTTATGCTCTTTGCAAACTACATGACGCTCAATTTTTAAATAATTTAAAGAATTTATTTCAGACCTAAACTTTATCCAAGCTTGAGCTATTTGATTTGGAACCTGATCATCCCAAGATAATTTCTCGAGCCAAAGGCTTTGAAGCAGCATTTTAATGACAATTATGCAAGGACTGATTAATCCTAAAGGATCAAAGACTTTAGAACTTTCTGACAAAATTAATCTTTTTGTGATAATTGTATTGCTGGACATGTTTTTCACATTGAACATTAATTTATCTTGATGAGGACTCCAACTTAAGCCGACTGAAGAATACACCTAATCGCTAAGAATGATGCAGCCGCAGTCCCATACGTGACTGTATTCAACTCGTACGACTCTAAAGGACTCTGAGGATCGAAACGCCACAATATTTTTTGTAATGGCCTATCTTTACGGGAAACCCATACAGATCTGTACATTTTAGTACAATCCCCTGCAATCGCATAGGCATGCTGCCTAAAACGAATCAAAATTGACAATAAATCTTTTTGCATTGTGGGGCCAACCATTTGGATGTTATTCAATGAATATCCTGTAGAACTTGGTAAGGACGCATCGAAAACGACTCTTAAATTGGTTGTGAGAGCATTTTCCCTGTAAACGCCATGGTGACACATATAATAATTAGCAATAGATGAATTGTTTGACTCAGTGACTCTGGACATGTGCCCCAAATCTATATATTCCCTCATAAACTCTTGATATAATTTCTTATACATTGTATTGGCCTTAAATTTACGTTCCAGACTTAGGAAACGTTTTTTTGCCTGTTCAAATGAATTATCCAATTTAGTAGTTTCCAGTTTGAGGGGTAACCTAACAACAAATGATCCATCCTCATTACGTGTGGTATTTTCTATAAAATGGTTTTCACATGCAAGTTCCTCTTCAGACAATGCTTTGATATCAGAGCTACAATTTTCCAATTCCCAAAACCTTTTCAAATCATCATGAATTTGTACTTCAATATTACTGAAATTACAATTCGAGACCTTTTTTTTATTAATACCAAATGGACCTGATACAACCCATCCAAATAGAGTACTCTGCAAGATTGGTTAATCAGAACCCAAAATATTTTTTTCTGGAAGCACTATGTTCCAAAATATATCTGCCCCAATCAACATATCGACCTCTTGTGGTTCATAAAAACTAGGATCTGCAAGCTTACATTTTACAGGGATCCTCAAATTACTCACATTTAATGAATTGACAGGTAACGTTCCAGTTATGTTCGGAATTACAAAGCATGAAATATCAATGGAAAAATTATTATTTTTTGAATAGATAGTTGAATTACATTTGAAATTTATAGTTGAATTTGAACCGTTTATGCCATTGAGACCAATATTCACTTTTTCTCTAACTAACCCAAACTTATTGCAAGCATTGTCCGTTATGAAACTTGACTGTGAGCCACTATCTAAAATAGCACGAATAGTGTGTCGATTGTTAGATTTATCCAATATATCAATATGAGCTGTTGACATCAAAACATCACTTATTTCAATATTTGCAGAATTGCAATTTGCATTATCTAAATTCACAAATGAAGATGACACAGGACTATTTTCAACTAATTAGGAACTATCTTTCTCATTTAAATTTTCCATATTAGAAGGTTTATCACGATGAAGTAAAATATGATGTTTTCCATGAAATTTTTTTGTACGTAGGGCGTCGACAAGCTTTACTAAAATGCCCTGAACGAAAACAATTTAAACAAAATGCACAATTTGGTATCCTATTTTCAGAATAAACATTTGAGGCCTTATTTTCAATAGCCATTAAACCTCTAGTACCACTATTTTGATTCCTTTCAGAACCCTTATCAGGTCGATTCTGCTCCAAAGTATCCAGAAGCTCGGCTTTCGAATTCAAAAATACTTTAAGGTCCTCTAATGTAGGAAAATTTTTAGCTTTTGGCTTAAAAGATTCCCACTCTCTGGTCGATACTTTGCCCAACTTTGTACCAATTAAATATACTAAGGGCACATCCCATTGATCAACTGGAGTACCTATTTGACTTAAGGCACGAATATTTTTTGTCAATTCATTGAGAATGCTCCGAATGCCTTTTGATGACTCTTTGCTCATGGGTTCAATATTTTTTATATGATTATGGATCAACATTTTATCATTGCTATAGCGTTTTCCTAACAAATCCCATGCAATAGCATAATTATTTGATGAAAATTCAATTGTTGAGATTAACTGAGACGGTTCATTTTTAACCGAGGCTCTCAAATAATGAAACCTTTGAATATCTGATAAGGACTGGTTTTGATGGCTTAGAGATTCAAAAACGTCCCTAAACTCAAGCCAGTTTTGCAAAGAACCATCAAAAGTTGGCAAATTAATATCGGGAAGCTTAATGTTTTTAATAGGATCTATTAAATTATTAGGAGAGTTATTACCACCAGAATGAATCGAAGAGCCATTACCTGCAGAGTTTGAAGACCTCTTTTCTTCAACATAGCTTTTTGCTTCAGAAATGTTAGCATAATACCTATTCTCAAAATCATACCTGTCCTCATATTTCCCATCCAAGACAGCTTCATCACACTGAGACTCAATCTGATTCTGAATATCCGAGAATTTTTGTAATAAAGTACTTTCAATAGTCTCAATTCGAGTTTGAAGCTCAAGGACAACATTTTCTGGGTAATCAGTTTTATTTCTAAAATTTTGATCAATGAATTTAATAAAATTTGTCAAACTGGCCTCCACAGAACTTCTCTGCCTCTTAAGTAAATCCATTTTAATATACACTCATCAAAATAGTCTAGGGAACAAGAAATATCTGTCTTTCAATTTTAGGAAAGAACAACTTTTTAAAAAAGATAAAGTGAGTATTATTTATTGCACAAATCTTGTCAAATTTACCATGTCGGCTTTTTTTTTGCAAACTTATCTAGTTTAAATATTTTAAAAATAAAATCAGCAAAAATTTCTGATAAGTACAGAAATTATCTTGTTCCCTAGACTATTTTGATGTGTGTATTTAATGTATTAAACAAACGCGACAAAAGCAATACATAATAAATAGGAAATAAATACAAAACTGTGGATGAATAATAACTAATTGGATTAAAAGAAGGAAAGGTACTTACTACTTGACTCCCTAACAAGTTCAATAAATGCACTTATACAACCTTAATCAACCTTTCTTCTTTGCCATAAACAATGTCCATAAGTTTTGCAGGAAGCAGCAAGAGCCGGTGCTAAACAAACGACTTTTGGTACGGATACTACTAAACCAATCCAATGTGTTGATCCAATACACTTTTTATTTGATTGCTGTGGCTCCTTGCAGTCCTTGACTTTTTCCATACAAAATATTTTTCTTCAATTTTGGGTTGGGTCAATTCCCAAGTACATATCGGCAACGAAGGACCATGTAGAAAATTGCACAACTTTGCAATTATATAAAATCAAAGACCCACAAAAGTTACATACTTTTTTATTAATTTTTAACTGAAAATTCTTTTCTAATAATTTTTTTACATCCAACCACGTTTTTTCCAAAAAAATAATAATAATAATAAATGACAAGTGACAAATTGTTTCTCCGCTAGGTTAGAAGTGCACACATAGCGCTTTCTTTCAGCCTAGTAGTAGAACCATATATTTTAATATAGAGTATCGAACAATGTGTCTCCAGAAACATAGGCGGTTCTAGGTGGGGGCTTGGGGGGGCTAAGCCCCCCCAAATCTGGAATTAGCCCCCCAAATTTAATTAAGTGATGAGTGGCAAAAATTCGCAGTCCCTGAATAAAAAATATTCAAGCGTAAGGATTACCTAATTAACTACATAATTTCATTAATTTCACTGATTTAATACCTTTATCTAATTATTTCATAAAATTTTATTCAATTATTTCATAAATATCCGAAATCGGGACGTCTGGGAACAGAGACAACCCTAGTCCCCACCGCTAGGGACAGGGTTGCCTCTGTTGCCTGTAGGTGTGTGTAATAAGTATAAGTATAGGAGCAGCCAAAGTTTACGCGCTGCTCTGTGGAAGCTCATGTGGGAGCTCAACTATTTGGCTAAGCCCCCACCTAGAACCGCCTATGGTTATGTACTTGTGTACAGGGTCATCCACCAAGGCCTGAACAGCGGCTTATTTCTGACCTTCCCTCTATTTTTAAAAAAATTCAAAATAACCAATTGGAATACTTTTTCTGTACTTAGAATTAAAAATTGGTACCAAAAAATCATTTGAATAGAAAACCGAAGAGTTACGCCATGGATGAACTATTTTTTTTCATGAAACACCCTGTTTTTTTACCGGTTGAACCCGATCGTTCGTTCCAAAATTGACCGGAATGATCAGCTGTTTAAAACCGGTGAGGCACCGAATCCACCGGGAATTTTTGTCGGTTTTTTCGGTTGGAGGTTTATTGACACTTTTTTTTTGACGTACATTAATTTATTTGCTTTGAATGGGCACTATTGCGCATTGGCATTATATTGTTAAATTGCTGCTTGCAGATGGCAGAATAAAAAAATGTTTGTGCGTGGGCGTCATTATGAAATCGACAAACCAAATACTCAGCTCACATAATCTACAAAAATCGTACTGAAAACTACCGTTTGTTGACTGTTAAAAATAATAAAAATACATACCAACCTCACTGCATCCCACAAAAAAATCCATTCCAAAAAATAATAAGCAACACCACCAAACTTTGTTACCAAAGCGTTCCAAAATGCACCAGAAAGATCTTGTAATCGGACTTGCATCTGACTTTTACCGGAATTTTTGGACAGCTACCGGTTTATTTAACCGGTCAATTTATCGGTGAAATTTGGAAAGTGCCCTTATTATGTTCGAAATATTTGATATTCCATTAGCTGTTTTTATTTTATTTTACAATGTTTGATCCGTCTCTGTGGTATCCCCTATTCCTATTGTAGGGCCTTCTTGGTTCGTACTCTTTTTTGTACCATTCAGCCGTGGCTTTAAAATCGCTTGAATTACCGCCCTTTCGCTCGTCAATTAGGCAATCTACTGACCTATCAAAAACGAAATTCAATATGGAAGTTCGGGTCAAGGACTGTGTTGTTTATTCTGTGTGTCATTGATTCTGTCACATTCTGGACAAACGTCTAGATTTGAATTATCGGGTTTTGTATTTTTGTGTGTGTTTAGGTATTGTGTTAATTAAAATGCCAGCGATTTGCATCGTAATTGGGTGTGGAAGTCGAGGTAACAGGAAAAATGTGAAATTTTATTCAGTTCCTGCTATTTTAAATTATTGGCAACGCAGGGCTTTATGGATCGCTGCAATTAAAAGAAAGGATCTAACAGAGGCTCGATTTTCCCTTAATAATAATACCTTAAAATATTCACTCTCCATCTCAGAATTTATTAATAAATTAAAAAATACGTAGAAACACTATAAACACTATAAATATTACTTTGAAAACAACAAGGGCCAGAACACTAAAAAATACGTTGAAATACTAAAGACTATAAAATTCACTATGAAAACAACAATGGCCAAAACCAATAAGAAATACGTTGTTGGAAACAATATTCCAACAGTAAATTTAAAATTCAAAATTTAATTTTCCTGGTATGCACCGGAAGTGTGCGCGTATGTGTCAAACAGTGTCAAAAATCACTTGTCAAAGTTTTTGGTAAAGTGGCTTCCGGCATCTACGCGAGTGAACCAACGGGAACAGTCAGTGTCGAATCGAACCTCACCGAGCGCAACAGATAATTCTGGCCAGGTCCTATATGACCATTTTTACAGACTCTATAAGTCTAAAAACGTAAACAAAAACGAGAAAATGCAAATTGTAAATAGTGTAAATAGTCGTGTGTGTAAATAAATGTAAATATATTAATAATACAGTCCACTCTCATTATTTTAAAGAAATCAACATTCTTTTTGGTCCAATCGTAACCGGATAAAGTGCCGCGAAGTGAAAACTATGAAGCAAAAAGGTGATATGTGTTGTTTGCAGTGTCCAGAGCTTGCCCAAAAGTGCCTTCTATAAACGGCTCAGTGAAAAAATAATAAAATATTGTGCAATGCAAAATGCAATGTGGCGTCATGGTTTGTGCAAGAAAAACAAAATGGATTCCTCCTTTCCTCCAATGAAAAGCGCGGAAATTGGCGGGAATGATCAATCAATAATAAGGATCTGTCAGGCTCACTCCACTCGCGCCATCTTCAAGTCAACTACAGCGACAACAAAACCGCTGTAAGCAGTAGCAGAGGTTCAAGATTACGCCAACAGATGGTGAGTCTGTTCCAATTTTAAATTTCAAAAACAACTGTCAACGGCCAGTCAGGCAGTCAGCTGAACAATTTCTTGTTTACGTTTACTATTTATTTATTATTTCAATTAAAATTAAAGTGAACCCAATAATTTATTTATATTGGCACAATCCAAATAATTTTACGTATTATCTTGGTATTATCTAATTTTTTAAAATGTCTAAGGCCGAAGCCAAGGCTATAAATAAGAAAAACATGGAAAAATTAATTGAAAGAGAAAATTTGTGTACAAAAACAATGCAAAGAATTCAAAGATTTCTACTAGAGCATAGGGACGATGAAGTTACTAATCTTTTAATTGAGAAGTTTCAAGCTCGCAAGGTAACAGCTAATGAATGTTATAAAACTTTTATAGAAATACAAGTCGAAAAAGGTGTAATTAATAAAAATGCAGTAACTAATGACGATTTTGAGTCAGATTATCTTGATTTAATTACAGAAATTAATGAGTTTATCTCAGCAAATCGAAATAATGAGCCTATAGTCTCGCCACAGTTTGCTATATCTAACAATAATTCTGCCTCAAATTCTGCAAATAATAATGTATCAACTGCCAAGCTTTCGCATATTGAAATTCCAACCTTTGATGGAAAAAATCTAAATGAATTTAAACCTTTTTTAGACATGTTTATAGCAGTTATTCATAAAAATAAAAGTTTGAGTGATGTTGAAAAACTTTACTATTTAAGAAATTATTTAAAAGGTGAAGCATTTGCTCTCATCAATAATCTTCCTATTGTAAATGACTCTTACGATGAGGTTTTTAAAATATTGCAAAAAAGATACAATAATGAGTCACTGTTAGTTAACTCCCATATTTATGCTCTCCTAGATATTCCTAGCATTCAAAAAAGTTCTTCCCATAGCATTAGGGAATTCATTAGTAAAATAGGACAACAGCTCGGTGCATTAAAAAATTTAAAACAGCCAGTGCAGGCTTGGGATGCTCTTTTAATTTGCATACTTTCAAGAAAGCTCGATCAGTTTACGAATAGGGCTTATCAAATAGATAGGGATCAATTGCAGATGCCCACATTGGATAATTTTCTTATTTATTTGGAAAATAGAGCTGCTGCTCTCGAAGCTGTTGCTCTACCTGAAAATAAAGTAGCTCACCATAATAAAAATTCAAATTACAGCCATGTAAGTACGAGTTCAAACTATAATAATAACAATAATAAGTGAACTTCGTTGACCAGTCAGAAACAACTACTCCGAGGGCAAATACCCCTACCGGCGTTGAACTACACTGATTGGTCTGAGCTTTCGTTGGCAATGGAAATTGTTAGAAAGATTTTTACAGGTACCTGTAAAAATCTTTCTAACAATAATAAGTGTCCATTTTGCCAAAATACAGGTCACAAACTTTACAGTTGTGTATTTTTTAAATCAAAACCAGTTGATGATAGAGTTTCCTTTATTGACAAAAGTAAAAGATGCAAAATGTGTCTAAATAGCCATAATGGAACTTGTAAATATTCTTTCAAATGTAATTATTGCCATAAAAATCATAACTCTTTGTTACACTTAGATAGATCTAGAAAAGAAGAAAACAAAAATAATATTAACACAGATATGGACCAAGTCCAGTCCTGTAGCAGTGCTGCAACAGCACATTCAAAACATTGCTACTCGGATGGAAATTTTGATTCGGTTTTACTGCCTACAATAAAGGTAAAGGTTTTTACTAGTAATGGAGAGTGTTTGATTGTTCGTGGGTTAATTGATAGCGGATCACAAGTGTCTTTTATAGTCACAGATTTAGCTAATAAACTAGGTTATAAAACGTTTTCAAACAATTTAAATATTATAGGTGTCTCGAATAATTCAACGAACATAAAAAAGTCAATTGACGTAACACTTAGTTCTTGTGTTCAAAACTATAAAATAAATGTCTCCAGCGCTATAGTAGATGAGATAACAG